CTCCCCCTCGGGGCCGGCCTCCACCCTCAGACCTCCCTCTGCCCTCAGACCTCCCCCCACCTCGGACTCCCCCTCGGGGCCGGCCTCCACCCTCAGACCTCCCTCTGCCCTCGGACGTCCCCCCAGGGGTCGGCCTCCGCCCTCGGACCTCCCCCTCGGGGCTGGCCTCCGCCCTCGGACCTCCTCCCACCTCGGACCTCCCCCCGGGGGCCGGCCTCTGCCCTCGGACTGCCCCACCTGGGGCCGGCCTCCCCGTCCCCTCACCAGGTAGGCTGCGATGCCAGCCCCGATGAGGAAGCCCGCGTAGACGTCCACCGGGTGGCTGCGGTACTGCGTGATCTGGGTGAGGCCGCAGACGCCTGCCGCGATGGCGAAGGCGAACACCAGGATGGGCTTGAGCAGCTTGGTGGTGTCCGAGATGACCGAGTTGAAGTACATCTGGGGGCGGGGCGGGGCGGGTCAGAGCGTGGTTCCCCGCCAGCCGCCGGGCTCGGGCTCGGGGCAGGCCAGGACTCACCGACACGTAGACCGCAGCGAAGGCGGACAGCGTGGCGTGCTGTGACGGGAAGGTCTTCCTGTAAGAGGCGGCAGGTGAGCGGGCGGGCTCCGAGCCCCTCGGGGCCTCCGGCCCCCGCCCCGCACGGCTGGGCGGGGGCCAACTCACCGTGCAGACAGGATGGCGTGGGTGTCGTGGCCGGAGCAGATGTCCTGCGTGATGTAGGGGTTGGCCTCGCACGACGTGCCCAGCAGCGTGTAGTTGGGCTTGCAGACCGTCAGGAAGAAGGGCGCGTGGTAGCCGGTGGCTAGCTGGATGACGTCGGTCACCAGGGCGGTGGCGCACAGGCCGAACACGTGGACGCCTGCGGGGCAGCGGGGTCAGGGCTGGGGAGGGGAGCCGGGCGCGTGCACACGGAGGGCGTGGGGGGGGTGCCCTCTGGCGAACTCACCCACAAACCGCACCGTGCGCCGCAGGAAGGAGTTAAAGCTGCAGCCCCCCGCGTTGATGCTGCCCTCGGTCCCGCCTGGGCCCCCGCCGCGGCCCCACAGCCGGGACTGCAGACAATACAGCATGCCCTCGCCGACCATGATCTGCCCGACAGGGAGGCGTTCAGCCAGGCTCCCGGCCAGGGGGTGCCCACAGGCCAGCCCAGGCCCCCCGGCGCCTGGGACTCACCGAGGCCGCAGGGGCCGCAAAGGCCAAGCTGAGCAGCATGAGCAGCGGGATGAGCTCCTCGTTGGTCTCCACGTAGGGCATGGAGAGCGTGCGGTCATAGCACTGGAAACCCACCTTGGCCGGCTTGAAGAGGTCGGTCAGCTCCAGGAAGTAGAGGGACACGACGGAGGACGCCACTATGGGGAGCTGCAGGAGGGCGGCAGCCAGGGTCACCCCACCCCTGCTCACCGAGCCGCCCGTCCACTACCCACGCTGCGGTCTGGCCGTCCGGCCGCCGTCCTTCCCTCACTCGGGCCTCGAGCAGCTACTGAGCTCAGATTTGGGCGGACCTTCTGATGGGCGCGGACTCTCCCAGCGTCCTACACCTTCCCTTCTGGGCCACGGAACACCCACAGGGGCCAGGCTGGGGCTGGCACTATGGGGACCAGAGTATGCGGGTGCCTGGGGGGCTGGCTGCCTCAGGAAGTCCCCCTCTCCAGTTCATGGATGGGGCCCCAGACGCAGATGAAGCCCACGAGCCATGAGAGGCCTCCCTCTTCACTCCTGCCTTGAATGGCACTTTAAGGGGGGGGCCTCGGCCCTCCCTCCTGCCCTGACCGGGGGTCCCCAGAGGGGAAAACGCCAAAGGTGGGCTTGTAGAAGCTGGGCTCTAGTCCAAGGAGCACTTATTGAGCGCTTGCTGCATGCAGGAATGAGGCCCAAGGCAGTTGAGTGAAGGGGTTCCCAGCCATCTGCTGGACTCGAATCCTGGCTCCACCACTCCGCTCTCCGCTGTGCCTCAGTTTCCTCAGCTGAAAACAGGACTGAGAGTCACCATGTCCCAGGGCTTCAAGGTAGAACTGGGTGAGTAAGTATACAGAAGGTGCCTACACAGTGCCCAGCACACGCAGAGACTTCAGTAACAGTAGCTGCAGTTATTCCCTCCTCCGTGACCATGAGCACAACTGGGCTGGGGCGGCCCTACCACGTCAGGCAGTGGACAGGGTTTTCGGTGGGGCTGGGCAAGAGGGTCCTTGAAGTGTCCTTCTCTGCTGAGGCCCTCATGGCTTTCCAAGCTTCCAGGCTACAACGCCTGCCTGACTCCCCACTCCTGCCCTCTGCCCCCACCTCCTCCCAGCCGGAAACACCTGCTGGCGGGGGCCCACTCTGGAGCCCACCACCCCCAGAGGGTGTCTCTGTGCCACCCACTTCTCCTTGCATCTGGAGACTCTTACCCAGAAACCAGGGAGCATATCAGGCCCCCAGGAAAATGATCCACGATCATGATGTCCTGCCCATGTACTTAATGTGTGTGTGTAAACACATTTATGTAAGACTCACAATAAGAGAAAAGCAAACTAGAGCAGACACAGCCTTGCACCCATCGGACTGGCCGAGCTCCAGAGCTCTAGGTGCCAGCCAGTAACGGGCACGGGCGCCCTGTAAAAGTCTGGCCTCCACAGGGGGGCAACTTGGGGTCTGTCCGCAGGGATGTGATCTGCAGATAAGCTCACGCTTGGCAGACCAAAGGCCTTTCCTTACAGGAACGTCCGCGACAACCCCTGAATGTGCAGCTACCCGGGGTGGTGACTCGGAGCTGGGGTACTACACGGCCCTGCAAAGGGGTGGGTCAGAGGGAAGCTGAGAGCTCCCCTGGGAAAAAGCCAAGAGCAGAAACTTGTCCAAAAAGGTGTTGGGGGTCCTGGGATCGATCCCCGCATCGGGCTCCCTGCTCAGCGGAGAGCCTGCTTCTCCCTCTCCCACTCCCCCTGCTTGTGTTCCCTCTCTCGCTGTGTCTCTCTCTGTCAAATGAATAATAAATAAAATCTTAAAAAAAAAAAGGTGTTGGGGAAGGGCTGCACGTCTGACAGATGTGAGTGGGTGGGTGGAACACTTTCTGGAGGATGCAGGTGAGAGCAGGGGGTGAGGAGGACCGCAGGGAGGGAGCAGGTTTGCGGTGACCCTGAGAAGATACAACCTACTATGATGGGGATTTGAATGCAAATTTGAAAACAATCAGATTTTCTGCTCCTTGTGGAGGGACCCACTGGCCTGGGGGTGAGCCACTGGCTCTGTGACCCTGCACGTGGTGGGGGTTGCTCAGGACGGGGAACCCCGCTCATCTACCTGCACCCTGCCTGGACCCCTCTGTGGAGTGGGGTTTTCGTGGCAGGCGCAGCAGGGGGACCGTGGCCACAGGACGTATCCAAGGATGGATAAATACCACCCTGTGTGGTCATCAGCACTATGTGTCAGGCGACTGCGTTTAAATTCTGTTCTTTTAAACATTCATAAAGCCCTCACTGTGTGCCAGGCCTGTTCTCTCAGAGGCTTATGGGACTCGCCCCAGCCTCCTCGGTTAGCAGAGGAGGGGTCTGAACTTAGACCCTGATGCCTCATAGCCCACGTGCTGGAGGAAGACCCTGCACAGCCCCAGCGCCTTGCTCCAGCCCCTCCAGGTGACCTGTACCCCAGTCTGAATGTCCCACTTCCCAGAATTTGTGCCGGCTGTTTCCTTAGCCCAGAACGCCCTTCTGTGCCTCTCAAACTCCTACTCACCCTGCACAGCCCGATTCCTCTGACCCCCACACCCAGGCGCCCTGGCTCTGCCCCTACCTGCGGCCGACCCGAGCTGTGCCCACCCCAGTCCTTTAGCGTAGAGGTCCCCGAGGGCGTGTAGGACAGAGGCCTTTGCCCCGCCCCCACCAGTGCGACGCCCCCGCCGCCCCCCCCCACTCACCTCCACGAAGTAGAAGCAGGGAAGAAGCGTCATGCTGTCCTTTGGGGTTTTATTCTTCTCCTTGGTCGCGATCATGGTGCCGCGGGCTCCACAGGCCGTGGTTGGAGGGGACAAAGACGCGCTGGAGGAAGGGAGGCGCAGTCTGAGCCCTGGGGGGACCCGGTGCCCAGGGCCTGCGGGGGAGGGGCGGGCAAAGATACGCCAGAACCTCCCGGGGAAACTGAGGCTGGGGGGAGAGGGGTGTCCCCGCGGCCTCCCCTCGCGCACTGCGGCCCTGCCAAAATATCCAGCTGCCGGGCACCCCCACACACCCCAGATGGGGGCTCGGGGGTCCCAGTAGAGGGCGGGGCCGGCCTGATTTAGGAGTCCCCGGGCCGGGGCCGCTCCCCGCGTCAGGGCGGGGGCCCCCGGGAAGGCGCGGAAGGAGGGTCCCGGCGGCCGGAAAAGGGGTGCGGCCCGGGCCCTCCGCCCGCAGTCCCCTCACCTGGCGCGCGGGCGCTCGGAGGG